GTGTAGCCAGCAGCCAGCGTGAGCGACCAGCAGCCGCTGTGAGCAGCCGTCCAGAGGCCGGCGACTGATCTCCCTCGCCCGGGAAGAGCGCAATGATGGTGCCAACTTGGGCCAGTGAAGCAACGTCCTCCACAACTAGACTGAAGAACAAAACAACAGCAACTTGTCTGTTCCCCTTCCCTCAATTCCCCAGCGCTGTTCCCATCCCCCCCAATTCCCCAATAAAAATCTTAAAAAAAAAAAAAAGCATCTACATCTCAACATCCCTAGAAAGTTAAGTCCTATATCCTCTTTTTCAGATAAGAAAACTAAGGAAAACATTAAACAATTTCTCAGGCGGTGACAGGATTCAAATTCAGGCAGTCAGATTCCAGAGCCTGTATTTATGTTTCGCTTTGGTTTTTCAAACTAAAGCAAAGCAAAATGACACAGTCAATGCACATACATCTGACGGCGGAACCTGCTTACAGCCTCCACTCGAGAATCACACAGACATGGGTTCGAGTCCCAGGCCTGACATTTATCAAGTGTGTGGTCTGTAGCAAGTCACCCACCCTTTCCATCTCAGCTTCTCCATGTGTGTAAAGAGGTTGATGTCTGTTTCACAGGGCTAGTGTGAAAATCAAATAAGATCATGTACTCCCCTCCAAAAATAATCTAGCACTTGGGGGGCACTGTTTCCCCCTCCAATTTAGCCATTGCCGACCTGGCACAAAGGTGCTCGCAAATGTTGAAATGATATAATCCAAGCTTCTGCAGTTAATAGGCACCAAGGTTCTGGGAAGTGAATTCACAGAAACAGAAAGAGAGGGACCCTGCCGCCCCCACACTGAGAACCACAGCACTCTATCACCTCTCAGTGACTCTGTAACAACAAATGGTGATAAGTTGCATGAAAGAAAAAAACTCTATGAGGGAGGCATCTGAGAAGCATATATTTGAGATTGGGGGTTCAGGGAAAGGCTCGGTGTGGAGATAAATAAAATATTAGGCCAATATAAGGGAAGCCATACTCCCACTTTACTCCCACTGGTCAGACTACATATAAAAAATGGCATGCTATTTTTGGATGCTGCGTTTTTGAGCTCATCCCAAAAAGCACATCCCAGCTGATAAAGGATGTGGAGACCGTGCCATAAATAGTCACCTCCCTCGCTCAACAGTATTTATTGAATGCAAAACACCACTTGAGACTGGAGAGGGTTTAAAAGTAAAGACACCAGCATTATGGCTTTCAAGAAATGTTACAGGGGTGGCCAGGTGGCTCAGTTGGTTAGAGCGCAAGCTCTGAACAACAAGGTTGCCAGTTCGATTCCCGCATGGGATGGTGGTCTGAGCCCCCCCATTGGGTTGTCGGAAAAGTCATGATGCATTTTTTTCTATGTTTCTCGTTGCAAAAATACGTCATGACTTTTCTGACAACCAATAGAAGGAAAACGGCAACTGGACTTGGAGCCGAGCTGCGCCCTCCACAACTAGATTGAAGGACAATGACTTGACTTGGAGCTGAAAAAAAAAATGTTACAGTCTAGTAGGGAGGGCAAGATGAGTATGTAGATTAAACATAATGCAAATCTGACATTCGCTCAAAGACATAAGATGTACAGGAACAGCACACACAAATGAAGGATACCTGAGACCCCATGAAGGGGATGGTATCTGAGCTCATCCTGGAGATAGAAAGGGTTCCTGTTATTGAGAAACCTATGCCACATAAGGGGCATCCCAAATAACAGAAATAGCCTGAGCAAAGGTACAGAAGCAGGAATGTGTATGGGAGGCAAGCCCTTGTGAACTCCAGTTTAGCTAGACCAGGGGTTAGCAAACTGCGGCTCCCGAGCCACATGCGGCTCTTTGGGTATGTGCCATCTCAAAAGTTTGCCGACCCCTGGAAGAGCCAATCCTATCCCTCATAACAATTTAAAAATTATTCGAGAGCCATAAATATATTTTTACAAATCAGGAAATTTTAAAGTAATATTATAGATGAAACTATTATAGCTTTATTTTCATTTTCAATTTTACTTCAGAGCCACATGTATGTACCCAAAGAGCAGCATGTGGCTTGCGAGACGCAGTTTGCCGACCCCTGGCGGCTCTTCTGTCTCAAAAGTTTGCCAACCTCTGAGCTAGACCAAAAGGCAGGAAAAATGAGCCTGAAAAGATGGATTTGGATCAAAGCAAGCAGGGCATTGGATGTTGGTAAAGGAATCTGGACTTCGTTTGGGAGGAATTTGGAATTCCTAAACGGAAACTTTGTAATGGCCACTGTTGTTTGGCCTGCTCCACACTTTCTGGGAGAGCACCTCAATTTTCCTTGGGAAAACCACCCCTCCCCCAGGCCAGTTCACATCATAAATGTAGAGAAAACTAAACGCCCAATTTCACACAGATGGGTTCAGGGATTTGTCCAGGCTCCGAACAGACCAATGACTAAGGGGAGTCACATCTGAGGTGTAGTTATAAGGAGACGGGGAGACAGAGACAGACAGACAGACAGAGATGAGCTTATCTGCCTGCTGGAGATACTAGGAAAAAAAAGGTGGATGTGAGTCTGCAACTGCTGGCAGCCATCTTGCCACCATGAGAGAACCCCCTGAGAATGGAGCCAATTCAGATGGGACCAAAGTGCCAGTGACCTTGTTTGAGTCCCTGGAGCTGGCTGTGCCTTAACACTTACCTCTAAGCTTTTTTGTGAGTGAGCTGATCAATGTCCTGTCTTGTTTAAGTCAGCTTGAGCTGAGCCTTTGGCCTCTTATTGCTGAAAGATCCCTGCTTCATACAGACCTCCTCTCAGCTGTATCTGAGGAGAAAGAAGGCTGAAGAAAAGTACTCGTTAGTTCAACAGTAACAGTACAATGAGATACTAAGTGCAAAGCGAAATGAAGAATCACAAGGAAACACCTGGCAAATCCAAACTGAGGGACATTCTACAAAATGACTGGCCTGCAATCTGCAAAAGTGTCAAGGCCATAAAAGCCAAAAAAAATAAACAAAAAAACCCAAACCAAGGAACTATTCCAGATGAAAAGAAATGAAGGAATCATAACAACTAAATGCAACATGGGATCCTGAATTGGATCCTAAACCCGAAAATGGAGATTGGAGAGACAACTGGTAAAACTTGAAACAGATCTACAGGTTAGCTCTATTAACATTAACATCTTGATTTTAATACTTGTACTGTGTTTATAGAAAATGTTTAGGGAGTATTGATGAAGGGTATACAGAAATTCTTTGAATTATTTTTGCAACTTTTGGTTAAGTTCTGGAATTATTTTAAAAGTAAAAAAAATAAAAACATGAAATTAGGGTTTGATCTATGGTGGAGGGGATGGCTTTGGGAAACACGATGGTCATAACATGGCAAGGAGTTGGCTAGATGATGAGAGAAAGGACAAAACGAGAAAATAACAGGGTTCGGCTCTGAGAGAATGGCGGCAGTACGAAGTAAAGAGAGTCTGGGAGAGAAACAGGTTTGGGAGTAAAAAGGATGACTTTAGATGGACGTACTGAATGGTATGTCTCCTCCAGGTGAAGCTGTTTAGCAAAAACTGAAACTTTGGAACCAGGGAGAAGAGCAATGGCTAAGGACAGAGATTTGACATAAAGGAAAAAGTTGACGCCACAGGAATATAATAAAACTAAAGGGAGACACTGTGGAGAAAGAAGGACAGCCCAGGGAAGGATCCCGGGGAGTGGATGCGGGGCAGGCAGAGGTGACCACAAAGATTTCAGAGGAGAGATGTTTGGTCACAGCTAATCTCTAATCCATGAAGAAGTGTCACAAGAAAACTATAACAGTTCTTTGGATTAAAAAAAAAAAGTCAGTACTTAAATCTTTTTTTTTCTTTCATAACCTAGATTTTATTGGTTGTTTTGAGGATAAGTACAGACATTTCAATTTGTACACAATAATTAACATATGTACCAAAAACCTAAAAAGTCATGTAGTTGTGATTCTTTTCTAAAGTTATTCCAGTGACTTTCCAGCTTACAATTTGGAGGCTAATTTTCCTTAATAGAATATCAAGTACCAAATGTTGATATGCTGTTACATCAAAGTCCCACTAATTCACAATTTAATATCATATACACTACATACTCAAATTTTCAATCTTTCACAGCACATTAACAAAATGACTAGGATAAACTGGACGGCCACGACCAAAGATGGTACAGAGTGCACAAAACCCTGACAGGGAGAGCCAAGATCGAGGAGTGGTTTTGTTCAGGAAACAATTCTGTCAAAAACAGGGGAATAGAAGTAATTCAAAATGTTCAAGACCTATTAAATGCACGACTGACTCCAAATGGCCATTTAGTATGCTTTGTATTATAGGATATAAAAACTACCCCCATCTGGGCCGGCCGAGAGGCGCGATGGTTAAGAACTGGCTTGGAACGCCAGAGGGCCCCGGGGTTCGGATCCCACATATGAGGGCCAGTGACACTGCCCTCCACAGCTAACATGCTGAACAACAGCTCAACCTGGAGCTGGGCTGCTGTGAGTCGCCTGCAACGGTGTAGGCTGCAGCCCCTGCTGCAGTGGGTTGCCATGGGCTACCGGATGTAGCCAGCAGCCAGCGTGAGCGGCCAGCAGCCGGCATGAGCGGCCGTCCAGAAGCCGGCGACTGATCTGCCTCGCCCAGGAAGAGGGCAATGATGGTGCCAACTTGGGCCAGTGAAGCAACGTCCTCCACAACTAGACTGAAGAACAAAATGACAGCAACTTGTCTGTTCCCCTTCCCCCAATTCCCCAGCACTGTTCCCATCCCCCCAATTCCCCAATTAAAAAAAAACCACAAAAAAAACAAAACTACCCCCATCTATGGAATGTTTAGCTGACACCCCAAGACAATCAAAGCCTCCCATATTCAATATCCTACTATTTTCTGGTTGTACCAAAAAATAAACAACCAGCAAATGATTTCACCTCTTAAAAAAAAGCATTTACACTTAAAAAATGGGATGAGGTGGAATTCCCTCCTTAAAAATGTTTCTAGAGCTACTAAAAAACTTGTATTTACAAAATAGTTGATAAAAATATTCCTCTGGATTGTACAAGAAGGGAGACAGGGACCACTGATAAGACATGGTATGATACTAATCAGACTTGGCTTCTTTCTCTCCTGCTTCATCAGAGGCTGGATGGACTCTCCTCGTTTTTAGTTTCTCCGTTTTCTGCAGGTAAATCTTCTTTAGTTTCTTGGTTAGCCACTTTGGCCTGTTTGCCCTTTGCTCCCCTTTTCCCTTTTGTTTGCACTTTTTTGTCTGCAGATTTATCCTTTCCTGCAGCCTTTTTGGGCTTCGTTTCCACTTTTGCAGGAGCAGGTTTAGCTGACAGCCTCGCCGACCTCCTCTTGGGCTCCTCTTCCGCTGCCCCCTCGGCGGAGCTGACCTTCCTCATGGGCATCGTGGCGGAGAGGCAGGCGCGCGCCGGGTGCCTGTGGTCTGCAGCGCACCCGAGAGCCTTCACGAAGCTGGGCTACCTGGCAGCTGCCGTTCCTCCTGCCGCCCGAGCTAAATCTTTTTTTTTTTTTAACAAGATTATAATCTTTTTTTATTTTTATTTTTTTTATTGGGGAACAGTGTGTTTTGCAGGACCCATCAGCTCCAAGTCAAGTAGCTGTTTCAATCTAGTTGTGGAGGGCACAGCTCAGTGGCCCATGGGGGGATCAAATCGGCAACTTTGGTGTTGTGAGCACTGCACTCTAACCACCTGAGCTAACCAGACGCCCCAGTACTTAAATCTTAATAAAGTGTTAAGTGTGTGCTGACCCCTATCCCTGCACAGTTGCTGCTTTCTCGGTTGGTGCTAGCTTGCTGAGTTCGTTGAAACAGGAATGGTCATTGGCACTCTTCACTTGTGTTGCCCTGAGCACATAAATTATCCACTGGCCTCTCCTGTGACCTCAACATCACGAACAGTCAAGAACTGGTTGAAAGTCAGGTGGTCCCACACCCAGAGATGAACAGCCCATTCTAAAGGAAGAAGGGATTAAAAACTCCAAGTCCTGGCCAGTCAATGCCTTTTGAGCATTTTGAGCCTTGCCTCTGCTCGAGGGCCTGCTCCAAATTCTTTGGAGTGCTTTGGAGTGTACTTTTTCTCCTAATAATGACTCCCTGACCCAGACCCTGGCCCTGGCCCTGGGCCCCCTTGGGCATTTTGAGCTTCCTTTGCTCAGCCCGCTCCAAACTCTTTGGAGTGTACTTTCTTTTCTAATAATGGCCCTTGAGCAATTCTCTACTTTTTCTCCCGCTTCTGCTTCTTTGAAACATATTTTTACTTCTAATAAACTCCTTTTCTGCAACTTTAGAAAACAACAACAACTGGTTGAAGACTTAGTCTATCTAAGAGGAGAGAGCTAAGCCAACTAGCAGCTCTTTGAAAAACTCAAACAATGCAGTGAGATGATGGCTACCTGATGGAGAAAATAATTCCTCAAGCTTCTTCCACCTCTGTAGTTCAGTAAGCTTTGATTTTATTTTCTTGTTAAATGTTCATAGTACCTACTTTATAGGGCTGCTGCGAGGATGATAAGAGATAAAGTGCCTGGCACAGAACAAATGTGCAACCTATTGTGTTGTCGGAAAAGTCATGAAGTATTTTTTCTATGTTTTTCATTGCAAAAATGCATCATGCGCTGGCTGAGTGGCGCGCTGGTTAACAGTTGACTTGGGGGCTGGCCGAGTGGTGCGTTGGTTAAGAGCTGGCTTGGGACGCCAGAGGGCCCCGGTTCGGATCCCACATATGAGGGCCAGTGACACTGC